GGTCATACAAATTAAATCAGATTTAAAAATATAAATATAAATAATATTTAAAATATAAAATTTATTGCAAAAAATTATGAAGCCTTGGTTATTTTGTTCAACTATTTGCTTGATCAGTCCAGTATTTGAGAATGTTAAAACTGGACTAATGTTAATTTTAATTAGTTTTTAACTAAATTCAGTTATTACATTATAATAGACCAACCAAAACATCGACTGGTCTAACTGATAATACAATATTCAAACAATCGTATCAAAATGACATGCCGCTCATCACCTACTCTACTTAGATAAACCTAAAATGAGATAAAAGTAGTCTCCCTCTAATAAAACTTGGCCAACTTTCCCTTATTTATAACCCCCCCGTCCTCTCTTCACTCAAACCCAACTCCTTTCTCTCTCTTCCCCGCCCCATAAACTCTCTCTCTCTCTCTCTCCTCCACTACTCTCTCTCTCTCCTCCTCTCTCTCTCTCTCTCTCTCTCTCTCTCTCTTCCCCCCTTACCTGTCATCACTTTCATTGAGCAGTGGTGACCAAAATGGACCAAGTACGCCATTGACCTTTGGCTTATATTTTCTAAAGCAACTTTTTATTCACTAGCAAAATTGAATTATGTGGAATTTGTGTTGTGGGTACTAGTTGTTGTGTTTTTCAATGATTAATTCTTGTTGGTTGCAGGGAAGTGATTTGTATTGTGGGGAACTAGTTCTTGTGTTTTTCAATGATTAATTCTTGTTGGTTATTCACCCAAAAAAAATTCTTGTTGAATGCAGGGAAGTGCCAGAAGGCTTATCAAGGCTGCCCTTCAAGAAGCAGCCAGAAAACGGGAAATGCGTTACTCTGACCTGAAGAAGATTGACAGGAAGGTGAGACGACACTTCCATGATGACATCACTGTTATAGTTTTGTTCATAAATCATGATATGCTATCGAGAAGCATGGTAGAAGCACCTGTCATATCAGTTCGAAGTGCATTGGAACATTAAATTCATATTTTCCAGCCTCTTTCTTGCCCTCTGATTAAGATCAATGGGAAATCCTCAGTTACACTCATGCTCCAAGGACTCCATTGAGATTTTCACGAAAATTATTTAAGCCAAAAAGCTTAAAATAGTCTTCTAATGTCTCACCTTGTAAGGTAGGTGACGTTGAGAATCCAGTTTTACTCAATGGATTCCTGATGGTATCATAATTCAAATTTACATTCGGAGATAAAGTTGGACTGTTGGAAGATGATGTTGTTCTTTGGTAAAATCTTATTATCACAGCCGCTTCGCTCGAGACCGAAGTTTGTCTATGTATTCATATTAATCGAGGGGTTATTTAATTCCATGTTGCATTTTCATTCCTGTTAATATACGGTTAGGCGCATTTTTCATAATCAAGATTCATTATATTGGCATAAAAATTGGGTATCCAACTTGTATTGTCAAAGTCCAATGTGTATGTAATGTATTAGTGTTTGTGGAGTTGTGTACACGGGAAAAGTTCATTCCCTCGAGCGAGACCATGAATGGTATCGACCCATGTTAAAAGAATGCTACCACCTATTCATTATTTGACAATTTCGGATGCCAATTGGTAAAAGCATTTCTTGGGGAAACTGGGAGTTGAATGCAGAAACCCGTTTTAGTCAATGCATGAACACAATTAGGAGTTTCTCTTCTTTCGTTTATATTTATGGCTTACGAACTCAATCAGGAGTCTTTGATTTTTTATTTATGGGTGAGGTTTGCGAACGGTATTAACCTTGTACTATTAAAGTAAATCACACCTTAAAACTATGCTGAAAGATGTAGTTTTAGTGCTGGAAAGCCTTGCGATGGTATGAAAGTCTATTGCCACTATTAATTATGAAATTTAAAGTTCAAAAATTGATGATAGTCAAGCATATCTTTAAGGAAAAAATATGCAATGAGACTTTTTATCTTTGGTACAAAGTGGTCAAAAATAATCTTTGACAATTAGATGGTTGTATTTATTCCATTGATCAAGCTCGAATTTCAAAAGAAATTTTCTCAAGCCTTGTGGTATATCCAAACTATCAGATTTTACATCGGATGATTATAAGTAATTGTGATTTTGTATCAAAAATAAATGGTATCATTGTATACAATCCTATCTATAAATAGTTGAAAATTGTGAAAATGGATGGTCTAGGTACAAATTTCCATATTCATGAATATCAAGGTCAAGCTGATCCATTGGAGGGTTCTCCAAGTGTGGGAACAACTTTCTCCTTTTGGTATTTTAAGTGCACTTACTTCTACAATATAAACTTGGAACCTTATATATTTCCTTTATTTAGTTATGGCTCTTTATACTCACAGGAGTTTGGAGATTTGAATGTCCATTGATGCCAATTTACATTGTAAAAATACATCCGAAGTGACACCTAACCGTGTTTTCCAAATGTTCGCTGGTTCTTGTTACCATTTAAAAAAGGCAGCTGGAGTGATAGCTCAAACCACGTTTTTTCAATATGCAAAACACCAACTTAACAACACCAAAATAAATCTTCGAGCGGCACTCATAATATGGCCTATACCCTATTAGGGGTGGCAATGGGCTGGTTCGCCCAGCCTGGACCGGTCAGCCTGGCCTTAAGAAACAAGGCATGGGCTACAAAATGTGACCCAAAGGCCGGGCCACCCGATCTGGACATGGGCAAAGGCTGCCTTAGTTTGGCCTGGCCTGCCCTTGATAGGGCGAGGGCCTCTTTGGCCCGGTCAAGGCTGGGCTGATCCTAGGCCAGCCCTATAGGAACAAGGACAGGGCTAAGGCCCTGGCAATGGGCCCATTGCGAGCCCTAACCCCTTTTGTGCCCAACCATATATATGTAGCCAAATTCAAATTCATATATGTGGTTGATTGCAACTGTGATTGAACACTACAGCAAATTGCAAGTTTACATTTATGTTCACCTTTTCAAAACTGCTGGTTTGAGTTGTCCCACTCCCACTAGAATGGCTGAGCTCAGGCAACCGAGCTCTTTATTTGGGAAAAAAAAAAAAAAATTTGCAGCTCACTATCTCTGTTTCTGGCCTACACATAGCAAAATTATACAGTATTTACAGTTCAGATGCATGAAAGGCATCCCAACATGACCTAATTTTCAAGTGGAACTCTGTCCCTTACCAGTAGTCATTGCAAGAACATGACCCATTTCTGAAGTGATGGAACCGGATCCGGTCCCTCACAATTATATCTCGACTATAAACTTTTGAAAGGAATTTGGAGGCAGAGTGACAATCGGGGCAAATTCGAAGATTTTTAGAAAGTCGGATTGGAGCCCCTTGTTCAGTGCCAATCAAACCAAAAGCAATGGCCAGCTTCTCGCTATGCCTATATACCGCAGTTTCTTTTTCATCCTCATCAATATCAAACAACAATTGCCCAGTGCGCGGCACATAACCAGCCATTCTCAATTTTTCAGTCATCTCATCCAATTTTATGTAAATCTCATTGCTCAGTGGGTGAGAGTAATCACCTGCTACAAATTCATAAACCTCACCATTCAGTTCAATGGAGGTACATCCAGGCACTTTCTTTACCCCCCTTTCTCTCATCATCTTTCTCACCTTGATCACATCCTCCCATCGTTTTGCTGCCGCATATATGTTAGAGAGAAGCACATAACCAGAAGGTTCACTAGGGGAGAGCTCCATGAGCCCCTTTGCCATGTATTCACCTATCTCTAGGTTGTTGTGGAGCCTACAAGCTGCTAGTAAAGTTGCCCAAACAACTTGGTCTGGTTTTATGGGCATTTGTCTTATGACTTCTTGAGCCTCTTCTAAGTACCCAGCTCGACCAAGAACGTCAACCATGCAACCATAATGCTTGAGATTGGGCTCTATCTGATAATCATCACTCATCAGAGCAAAATATCTTCGTCCCTCGCTGACCAAGCCTCCATGGCTACACGCACTAAGAACCCCAATAAAAGTGATTGCATTTGGAGTGATGTTCTCCTTCAACATGTCCTCGAAAACTCGAAGGGCCCCATCTGTGAATCCATGGATGGCTAGGCCCACAATCATGGCATTCCAAGTCCCTATATCTCTTTCTCTCACTTCTTTGAATACTCGAATGGCCTTTTCTACATGCCCACACTTTGAATACATGTTTATGAGAGCAGTGCCCTTGATGGCATCGATTTCCATTTTCTCTCTATCCAAATACGCATGAAGCCATAACCCTTGGTTCACTGACCCCAAACGAGCACAAACTGAAAGCACAATCCCAAATGTGACACTATCTGGTTCCACTTTGGCATTGAGCATATCTCGAAATAGGTCAAAGGCCTCTTGGTAATGCCCACTTTGGGAATAACCTGATATCATTGTGTTCCAAGTAATCACATTTTTTTCCTCCATTTGGTTGAATAACTCCCGAGCAATATTTATCTGACCCCCTTTTACATATCCACCCAACAAGAAATTCCATGTAATTAATTCTTTCTTCGGCATCTCATTGAAGAACAACCTCGCCATGTCCACCTCTCCATGGTTCACATAGGCATCAATCATGAGATTCCATGAGATGGCATCTCGACATGGCATCTTATCAAAGAAAGAACGAGCCATCTTGATAGAGCCAAATTCTAAATAGCCACTGATCATTGAATTCCAAGAATTAGCATCTTTATGAGGCATTTCAATGAAAAGAGAGTAGGCAGCATTCATTGAGCCTGATTTGGTGTAACCACTGAGCATGGAATTCCATGATACGGTGCTTCTTTCAGGCATCTCATTGAATAGACTTCGAGCGTGTTCAATAAGCCCAGCCTCTATAAACCCAACAATCATAGAATTCCAAGAAACCACATCGAATCGAGGAATTCTATCAAACACTTTGATTGCATCTCCAAGATGATTGCACCTTGAATACACATGGATGAGAGTGTTCAGTGAGTAAATATCAGTCCCAAAACCACTCTTTATGATATGACTGTGTACTTGCTGGCCTTCTTCAAGGGCTGAGAGTTGAGAACAAGCTTTCAACACAAAGGGGTATGTGAATTTATCACATGGGCTATCAGAAAACAGCATTTGGTAGTAGAAAAGAATTGCTTTCTCAGGAGTCGGGCTCTTTGAATAACCTCTGATCATGGTGTTCCACATGAAGGAATTAGGGTTTTCAATTAGGGAGAAGAGGGATTGGGCATGGAAAAGAAGGGAAGGGTTCTCTGGATTTGTTAGGGCATAGGATGATATGATTTTGCTCGCTATAATTGGGTTGTGGAGGAGGTCTGTTTTGGCCATGTGGGCATGGATTTGATTGAGCTCTTTTTCGTGTGTAGAGAGTTGGAGGAGAAGAGTGGTTGTGGATTGCTGTTGTAATGTATTGGACATTTGGGGAATGGTGGGGAGAGTGCTAGAAGCATACATTGTTGACGATTGGGCTTACAGGGATTGACATCAAAAACACAAATTTGTTAAAACCAACTTGTTGGAAGGAGTTTCAATCCTTTCCCCACTTTCCCTTTTCACTTGCATACAACTTCTGAGCCAGTTTTTCTCCTTTCATTTTTGCGCTCTGTTTCCCGCCCTTTTCTTCAGAGACGGCCCACCATTGCCGCCATTGTTCAAGCTTCTTCGCTCGGCCACTGCCTTCCGTCTAATCATCAAGGATTCAGTGGACTCCGTAGAGAAGTTGATCTTTCTCTCTATTACTATTGATCGAGGATCCAGCAGCCAACGCCCTTATTGATCTATCTTTATGCCTCTGGACATCAAGGGTTTGTGGTTTTTCATGGAGATTGGAAGAAATTCTTTTGACGCCTTTGTGAATATTCAGTTTGCTATGTTTGAAATGCAACGTTGGAAATTTTGGAATAGAAATTAAGGTTATTCAGATAGAACAAATTACGGATAGGAAGTCTTCTAGTGCCTACTAACATGGTTTATGCATAAATTTTTCACTTTTTTCTATTGTTTGATTGCTTTGATATTTACCAAGGATTCTTCCATGAGCATTGTTTGATTTCTTTCTCCATCTTTTTTTTTTTTTGTTTAGTTATCGTCTAGAACCGAGAGAGAGGGAGAGAGGGGTGCTAAAGTGTTTCATCCATAATTATTCTATGTTTCATAGTTGTAATAATCATCAACGTGTAGAGAGAATTATCAAAACTCATCTAAAAAACAAGATTTGAAGTGTCTAATTTATTTACCATATAGATGCATTATTTCCTATAAATCTTTTTTTTTTTATATACTACTTTGGAATCATTAACTTATGAAATGAACAGTGTCGAACAACAAACTGTCTCGTTTTCGTTTTCAATTTATCAGAACCAAATAGGGGATTTCTTATATAATGGTTTTTTCAAAAGCTACCCAAACAACATTGTTGCTAAAACATATACCAGAATTTTGGATAACTAAGTTTTGAGGCATATCCAGCATTTCTGTATCCAGGAACCTAAACGATCTATAAATCCACTCGTCTATGGGCAAACCATTGGCCATCCTCATCACCATCCATTCAAGTTATCGACCCTAATATATAGAGAATGGGATCCACCACTACAATCGACCGTAATAGTGGGGACCACTCTATCTCTGCATCAATAACCATCACGTGAATACCTCCCGAGTTGAGAGAGAAAAAGACAGAACTCTCCTACTTTATCAAAGAGGAAGAGGGGGAGGAGAGAGAGAGAGAGAGAGAGAGAGTTCTACCATTGTATCAAAGAGGGTCTGGTGCTACAGAAAAGAAACGAAAATTACATAAACACGGGGACCATGCTTCAAAATTCCAATAGAATTAAACCTAAGAACACCTTATTTGTACTCAAGAGCCAGAGAAATGCTCCAATTTACTATCACAAACGACTTTATTTGATACCGGACCCTAAGTAACCACTCAACCTATCATATTTTACAGACGTACCAAACTCAATCTAACACTGCCCACTTGAAAACAAATACTATCCAATAACCAAACTTAAATATATTGACCTAAAAGAGAGGACCATGATCTAATGACTAATTACAGACTTGTCAAATGAGAAAATCGACCATTTCGATCGATAATCGGAAGAAATCATATTTACAAAGCCTGGAAAAAGGGGGAAAATTTGGTTATTGGTTACCAAACTTCTTTGCAATGAGTGGTCGCACATCCTCCGCATCAGCCAATGTCTCCAAGAAAGGAAGCAAATTAAGCAAAGCACAGTCGGACTTGTCATTGTACCAGCTCTTGATGGGAATGCCATTCTCTACTTGCAGACGAAAAACCTGCAAACACAATACATGCATGAGATAGAGAATCTCGATAGGAAAGGAGAAGCACAAAATAAGAATAATACCCAGCTTAGGTTTTATTTCTATTGCCATTTTGTTTCATCTTTATTTTTCATGAAAAAATCCTCAAGCTTCCAGTGACCTGACATTGGATTAAAACTTTGTCCATCGTGCAGTGCAATGGTTGTGTGTGACTTAAAAAACCTCAATAGAGATGCAACTACTAGAAAATTGTGAATACGAAAACAAAAAAAAACCACAGAGGAAGGCTAATCCACTTGGTCATTTGTCATTTGTATTGTCTACAGACATTAGGGACATTCTAGTAAATTAACAATATCAAGCATGAATATCTTTTCATATATAGTTGGTGTTTTTTTCTTCAAAAAAAAAAACAGTAGTATTTTTTGCAAAAGGTACCAAGAAAATGGTTGTTCATACTAGCAAGAGAGTTGTGGGAGAAATCTCTCTTTTTCTTGGGGACAAAAAAAAAGTCTCGTCCTCTCATTGATGTCTCACATGACAATAAATCCCATTCTCACCGATCAAAAAGAGAAAAAAAAAATCCCATTGTCAGGAATTCCTTAAAAAACCAATTCCTTGCAAGATAGTTAACTTTTGCTTGTCCTCATTAAATGCTCAGAAAAACTTCAAAAATGTAGGAAATATTATCCAAAAATTTAAAACATTGCTAAGCTAGGATTTCAGAGGACCAATTAAAGGAAAGAACCAAAACCTGAGGAGAATTATCAATGATGGCAACTTTTGCTAAATCCCGGCCTAGGATTCTCAGGTCCTTCATGTATCCACCACCTTCTGAAGCTATACAAGAATCACGATAAACTCTGTGGCGAAAAATCTTCTTGTTGGGGTCGAGAATATTGAGCAACTGTTCAGCATAGATGCGCTGGCTGGCTGTGAAAATAATGACTTCAAATATCTCTGAAACTTTCTCCAAGAATACTCGTAAATAAGGTCTTTGCCGTACATAGACAGTGTGCTCTTTCTTGTCAAGAAAGACTTTAAATGTGAAATCTGCATCTTTGCATGGCGCCCATTTAGAGTGTACAAGAGTTTCTGCACCACAGTAGTTTGAGTTAGCCAATTGATTGATAAAGCGAAATGAAGTCCATATATAAGGGATTATTGCATCAGAAAGTATAATGGTATATGGTATTCCTTCAGTACATCTGCCATCCATTCCCACTAATGAATAGTTGGAAATTCACAGGAATTGGGCCTACGGATATGCACAGATGCACATTTAATTTCTAACCATCCATTGGGGGAATGGATGATGCTTGTAGCTTGGGATACCATAACCATAGTCCATTAGACAATACCATATAACAAGATCATCGGACTATGATATGCTTTTCACTTACTGCATAGTATCATCAAATACTAAAGTTTTGCTAGTAACATGACACAAATCTTTTTTTCTTTCCCCTTCAGGGAGCCTTTATCAGCAGGAGGTCTAACATGCATGTTGAGAAACATGGTGGATCATGTGCTACATACCAAGAAAACTCAAATGATAAAAACCACTTCGTTATAAGACCGACAGTTAGAAACAAAAGACTGGTAGATTAATAAAACATGACTAAGCATATCACTCCACTAAGGATGTCGTGTCACTAACACAAAGAAAGTCACAATGTAACCAACCTTTCATCCAATGTGAACTGGAGCGAACATAATAGCCCCAAGATCTAATGTAAATTTGCAAAATGGAAAAAATCCTCTAAGAAATCAATAGCTCCATCATAACATCAGTTTTAACTTTACGAAACCGTAAGGGATGCATTAAAAAGGACAAACACTCAACCCATGAAACTAATTTTTAGTTAATTTGAAGAAGAAAAGCAAGATAGAATTTGTCAATATGAATCTCGAATAATGATATGGAAGCAAAATACAGAGATATATCCTCACAATGGTGAAATGGTAAAATAGAAAATAAAACAGAAGCATAATAATTAACAATTATGAAATTCAGCAATCATAGAAACCTCCTTACCATCTAGGTCTAGAACCAGAGTCATAGGGTCCCTTTTTTGTGCTTGTCTTGGCAATAAATTAGGCCAATGAGATGGAACTATTTCCGAGAAATCTGGAAAACTTGTGATGGATAAGTATGGGTCAAAACTGTTCACTTCATCCAAGTCCATGCAGTCAGTGAAAATATCAGTGCCAAAGTCTGATGGCTTATTCAGCTGAATTGCACAAAACAAGCAAGCATCATCAGGATGAGGAGAACATTTTATTAGCGATCCCATATCATGACTATTATAATTCTCTGCATTCTCCTCGTTGCAATGCCATAACATGTAATTGTCTGATATATCACACATCATATCGAAATTGTTGCATTCAAAACCAGGAGTTGCTTCACTCAGTACTGAATCGTGGTTTCGAACACATCCATCAGCAGCTACGTTAACAGTAGTTAAATCAGGAAGTTGAAAATCAGGTATATTGCTACTCTTAGCACCATTCCCAGTGACCTGACTGTCCCCATCTTCTGCTCCCATGATCATTGCATGAGGACAACTATCATGCTCAGCTGACAAAGAAAATGCTAAATATTAAAAATAAAAAATAAGAATGAAATAGAAAAGCAGCACTAGCACAATTTCTAAAATCACCAAAAAGAAAAAGATCTTTTCTTCAAGTAAAAGTGATAAAAAATTACAGATATCAATTCAAGCATACCAAGTTACCAACAATACAGTATATCATTTAATCCTCAACTGTCGAAAAGCATGAATAAATGGATCAGCATGCATGATAAGACTAAAATCCCTAGTACGAAAAATAGATCTGCATATGTTTCAATACCTTCTAGGATAGCTGGAAAACGCCGAACAGTATAACCAATGACAGCTAAACAAAGTGATGCATCATAACTTGACATATCTAAAAAGTGTGAACATTTGTGGTGCTTGCTGGAGAACACTCTCAGTAGAACAGATTTCAAATGGTTTGCAATACCTAAAATTAAGGATACTATGTGGTGCCTGAAGGTAACCTTCTCACTTACAATCAAGTTGACTCCTATAGCCCAATCCCCAGAATCTGTAGCATTTCCACAGAGAATGACAAGAACATTGCATGTCAACGAGAAGTTTCTTTTGTGGAAGTGCGGGAAATTAACACACAAATTTTCAACTAAGATATACCACGAACAGCTAGTCTCTATTACAACCCAAAAATTTGACCTGGATGTACAATCTCGGGCCAAAATTTGTAGACAAGCAAACCATACAGCTTTTGAATCTTCTTCTAATATTACTACTCTTCTTCTAACATCCAAAGTTATATTTTTCAGACTATCTTTCTCATCTCATTTCCGTTATGATTTTTTGTTTTTTATCAGCAAGAAAAAATGTTATTACTAAAATAAAATTACAAAGGAAATCAAAACCACAAAAATCAAAGAGATGTCAGGACAGCATCTCAGGACTGCGACAATGAAAGTGTGTCAGCGTAGAGTACCTCTCAAAGAACACCTTGATTCGCAAGGTTATCAGCCTCCTGGATAGCTCCCCTAATAATGTGCACAAAGTTCACATTTTTAGTGCCACAAATGTTGAATAATTCACCAAATATCATAGCTACCCTCCACTCTTTACAAGTCCATCTTTTGACATTCAAACAATCTCCTTTTACTCCTAATCGATACCCTAGATGGATTGGGGAAATCCATAGACATGTAAGCTGCACACAACCACAACTAATGTTGAATCACATGTCCTACTGGCACTGAAAAGATTTTAAGCTTCCTACCTTCATCTCTAAAAATCCCACCCATAACTGCAGATCCTAGATTACACCATGAACATTCATAAAAAATTAATCTTAAGGGTAACCTCCACTAGAGCAATCTTGCCCTGAGTTAAACACTGATAGATCTAATAAGGTCAAAATCATCAAATCCTTGAACAAGTCCCTCAAACCTCAAAATTCAGGTCAAATCAGAGCCAACACGATCACCATATTCCCAATCCACACACAACCAACATTCTCGTGTCATTATATTCTCGGCACACAATCAACTTTGCAACACTGCAGGAATGAAAGACATTTGAAAGTTCCTTGATAGTTGAATAATCATGTTAGTAGTTATGTAACCTGGGCACATGTGTCCAAGGTTCTAGGCACCTGTCGACACTACAAGGATACGAACATGCGTGTTTAATACTTTAGAGACTCAAACACCACTATTGAACTTCTTTTATTGAATCTTTACTATGGAGTTCTTTAATATCACTTAAAATCACACCTTCCCCTAAAAGATATATGAACATGTCATATTATTTTGGGCCAGCATTTCTAACATGTGTAACCATGCCGGACTTCAACTCCAGTATATGCGCCCTTGTAACATCGGTAAGCATTAATAAGACATAGCTTGCATGAAACTAAAATGATTGGCCTTGCCATACAATAAATAGCATACACAAGATCAAAGCGAATAGTTAAGATACGGAAAATCACAAGATGGACAATAGTTGATAAAAACTAACTACGATAATCTTAATTCTTACACATTTTAGCAACCAGAAAGGGATCGACTATCTTATTATTATGCCATAAAAAGGGCCTTCGCAGGGGCTCAAAAGCATAACGTTACAAAACAACAATGAACAAACGAACTAATTAATTATCAATTACTAGAAAACAATCATTAACTAGGAATAAGATATTCAATCACATAGGCTGAATAAGGAAAAAAATCATTTTTGGTCATTGTAATGCTTGAGATATAAGAACATAAATTACTTCACATACCTGCATTGCCTACAAAAGCAGTTTCACTTTGATCTTCATTAAGGTTTAAAAATGGAGAAAATATGGTGCACATGATACATGGATTTGTAATGGATGATGATACCTACAAAAAGTGTTTCAAAAATGACATTAACACATATAACTGAATATTGAAATCGACAAGAGATACTATACAAGTCCCAAAAATATTCATAAAAGACTAAAAATTGTAGTAAATGTATAGAAACTTGTATAGGTATCTCATAAAAAATAAGAGCTAAAAAAAAGAAAGGTAACGGAAAAGGAAATTTGCAAGAAATTTTAGAAGTATCAAGTAGAAACTACAAAGTTCAAACACGAATCAAAACGAACCCATGAATGAGGCTTACAAGCATCTATAGTCCTTTGGCATTCACATTAAACTATTTCACAAGTCAATTTTCATTCGTTAATACTGAAATTGGATTATCTTATTCCTTGCTATCCCATGTTTAACAATTCCGTAGTTTATTTGAACCCGTACGGCACATTTGATAACTAGAACTTCCAGCTCAAGAAGCTGGAAGTTCCAGTTTACTGTAGCACTTCCTTCTTGTTAACAGAAAGTGCTATAAGACACTGGCTTTAGGAAGTTCTGGGTTATCAAAAATTGAGAACCTACAGCTTCTATTGCCCCATGGAAGTCGCTTATCCTGTTAATTAAGAAATTTGCCTCTGGATTTTTTTTCTTCTTCCCTTGTCCTTTTTCTCTCTCTAACTCCCTCTAAATATTTTTTTTTTTTGACATGGTTACATAGGAATGGAACTTGAGACATTGGGCTATGTAAACCTAGCCTCTACCGTCTTGACGCAAGCCTGATTCCTTTAATCATTAACCCTCTCACTCCCAATCCTCTCTCTCACCATGGCCTTCCTCTACCAACTCCACTCTCAAACCGTGCCCTTTCTTTCTCTAACTCCATTCTCTCTCGAAATGAGTCATTTCTCTAATACCTTATATCTCTAACTCCTCCCTCTCTAACCGTGCCCTCTCTCGAAATCTCTCGAACCATTCTTTTTTTCTCTAGCCTTGCCCTTTCCTCTCTCTAACCATGTCCTTTTTCTAAGTCCTCTCGCTTTACCATATGCCCTTGTCTGTCTAACTCCTCTCCCTCGAAATGTGCCCTTTCTCTATCTAGCTCCTTCTCTCTTTTTACTGTCCTTTCTATCCCTCTAAGTTCTCTCTCTCTCTCTCTCTCTCTCTCTTTGAGTGTGTGTAAAGTCATAAAGCCTTCTCTATAACACTTTGTCAGATCACTGTGAAGTCTGGTCTTTGTATTTGAGAACTTCCATACAAGTTATCAAACAAGTATTCCAGAACTCCCAAAAGTCAATAGTTCTAGCTTCTAGGGAACTAGAACTTCTAGGTTCCAGGGAATCCCCATCTTCCAGCAACCAAATGTGCCTCTAATGTTTCACACTCAACCACTACTAGACAATATTCCTATATTTCTATCTCATTTGACATCTTCGTTATATCTCCAGAGGGCCAGCACAGATTAAACTGGATCCTAAAACTACCTGGAAACAACCCTACAATGCATCCTTCTTGAATAATTTGATGAAAGCCACTTCTCAAATACTGATTGCAATTTTCAATAGCATGGTGATCCAATAAATTAAAGGTCGGATGAGGAAAGGGAAGGTTAATGTACTCACATCAATCCCGTCCTTCTATATGCAAGAAGGGTGCTTGAAAACAACAAAGAGGATCTAGGACCTCACAGACTCCTATAACGATTGCAACTTCGTAATAAATGAAAAATTAACGGTATATTGAGCATACTGAACCTAATCAAAATAGCTTGGCTTGAAAAAAAACCACATTCAATACACAGACAACAAATATATGGATTCCCACCCAAGGAAAATAATAAATAAAGGATGGGTTGCTGTTGATGAGTGATACCCAGATGGTCGCTTGTGTATATTTGCATGAATTACTTATTTTTAGGAAGAAAAAGGAAAATAAAAGATCCATCTTCAATTGGATCCAGATCAAACTTAACCAGTGGTAAGGAAATTACCTTTCTATCAATCAATGGCAAGTCAATAGAAGAATACGGCATCATGTGGTCATTACAGACACATTCCGCCAATATTTCCTGATGATCAAGAGCTTTTATATTTGTATATGCATGACCAGACAATGTCATTGAAGATAAGCAGAGAGGGAATGCTGCATTAGGTAGAAAATGAATTCATCATTCACAACCCAAGAAAGAAACACTTCTAAGAGGCATTTTTAAGAAATGGTTCATTACCAAGAAAATAAAGTGGATAACCATAAATATGAAGGGGAGACCTTCCACATGTCAGACAATAGCAGAAACCATAATAGAAAGGTAAATGCTATGAAAAGAAAATAAAATAAAAAACAGATCCAGTGACTTACTATTATGATGGCTAGCATGCAAGCCACCAGCTCTAATGTCTCAACTTCACAAGTTGTGACTGCATGGAATTATTAACCATTGATATAAGTGAGGGACTTCTTCTTTTTTCTTGTGGAACCCAAGATCACTACAGTCTTTCACGATAATTGCACCGATGAAACACTTCTTCACTGCCAAGGAAGAAACAAAACCTCACATCAATAAGGCAACAATCCTGGTTTAGTGAAAAGCACCCAAAATAGAGTAAGACCCCCCTTTCCCCACACTCTACGAAGGTATTAACGAAAATAGGGAATGAGTAATATTCTGAAACTCTGCATTAACAGTACCTAGAAGCACTTGCTTGCTGTCAAGTTTCAAATGATAAACATAAGCACAGATCAATGTGGTAATGATCCTTATTTAGATAAAATTAACCGAAAGAGAGTAAGAATGCCCCAGCTCTCCAGCTTTACAGGTTTCACGGATTGAAAAATACATGTCACTAGACAATTCTTTCAAAGGAATAGGTGATGGCTACCATAAAGAACACAAACCTGTCAGCATTATCTATTTGATCACCAGTGTGAAGTTACTTACTCCAACCAGCCCCGTTCCAGATCATATCCTGCACATATTATTATAATATGAGATATATAGATGTTTATTGAAGTTATATTCTAAAGAAATGTATCCTACCAAGTATAAATTTTAGAGCCTAATAAAAAAGAGGAAGAAGAAGAAATTTTTCTAAGAAGTATTAACAGAACTTTTTGCTATTGATATTAGAAAATTCAGAGCTTGATCGATCACATTCAGTCAATCACTTCCCTAATCCTCCAAAAACAATACTTGAGCTCACAGTTCCGCCCCACAATTCCTCAAACCACACATACACGCACACATGAACGCACTACTGGCACACACACATGCACGTACACACGCACATGTGCACACCCACACAGGCAAATACATCCATCCATGCCACTAAAATCAATATCTTGAACAGAAACAGAAACCCCATCACTCCACCAAAAATAGACAGGACCTCAACAACAAGACTCATAACAGTCTCCTCACCACCATCAGTTACATCTTCTTGCAAACTGAATCACCGTACTGTGAAATTTCAATACTTTGTGATACTCCAGTGAATAAACCCTTGTTTCAAGTATAGAAAACTCACCGAGTCAAATCAACTTGTTCACTGCACAAGTTTTAAAATGAAAAACTCAATATGTGTCAGAGTATTTTGACATAAATAATGGACTATGCTAGTTTGACCAATATGTACTCTCTTCAAATATTGTAGTTTTGCAGTATGACGAAGGCGAAATGCTGAAATCGATTATATAAATACTGTGTTTTTGGAAGAATTAATCACACAGAAATTCTGAAAAGCATGCCGAATCTTTCCAGGTTAGCTGTTTGACTTGGCAGGTTCGCCCAATTTTGGACTTATCCTAGTTCGCCAACAAGTTTGAGGTTTTGAAGACTGCTTCAAATTAAGGCAAGCTCGGATAGCCAGCATAATCTCCATGCACAAAATACAGCGTAGAATCTGGAAAAGACAGTATAAGGTGCTTAGGGAATGAGTTCTACAAGGCTCGTGCCTGTTAACCCAATTTATTCGGAATTCAAATCAGTCAATCGACAAAAGATGGCTTTATTGCTCAAAGAGAATACAAATATGTTGATCTTGGGATACTTAGAATTGGAGACGGTCTACCCAAAATTCACTCCTCTCAAAATATTTATGAGCAGAAAAGTACTCAGTGAATTAGTCAACTCATGCATCCGCATTAGTTTTGGAAGAATTTAGCACCAAAAACACCTCCTACATCATTGTAAATCCGTTTCCACCTCACATCCATGAATGTGGAGCCTCTAAGACAGTTAGTTATGAAGATATTTGAAGGATTAAAGATGAACAGTCCAAAGAAAGTAATTTTTGGATCGGAATTATTTTTAAGGATCAGAATTATTTTTTTCTTTTCTGTTTAATTCATGCAGTAAGAGACCCGAAACTTTTTGGGCTCAGAATCCATCTCCAAGATGGGTCTCTGGACTCACTGTAGCCGATGGGTCCCTGGATGCACATAACATACCCTTTATGAGCACTGGAAAGTTAATTTTTATACTTTTTCTGATGAGCAACTCTATTTTAAGATACTTATGAGAAGAATTATTGTTCGAGATAACCCACATCCTTTTTTCCCACACCCACTTCATAGTAGTCTTCTTAAGCTTCCGTGGACCCATATTAGAAACCAAAACAGAATTTAGAAAAGAACTACACACCAGTGATCCAATCAATACTCATCTCCAACGCAACTAAAACATAATATTACAGTATCACTTCCAAACATCCAGTTAATCCTCATTATTAAAACAAGTGACGAATACAACCATGACTACTAGAAATACCTTCAACTAACAAATAAACCCTGATTACGTTGAAAAAAGTGAACTAGGGCTACAACCATGCTATACTACAAATTGTTTTCCAAGAACAAACTAACCTGAATTCCTAAAACAAGTGAATTACAGCTACAACCACGATTTCTACAAAATATTTTCCAATGGCAAATAAATCCCTATTAATAAAACAAGTGAATTATGACTAGAGCCATGATTTCCCACAAACTCCCTTCCAATCACAAAGTTCAAATATCTCTAATCCATTAAACCCTAGGACCTACCTGAAAATGGCCCATATACCCATGAATTCCATGGCTAAACTCCAATAACATCCAAGACTTCAAATGGATGGTTCCAGCGAACTCAGGAACAATATAACTGAAAGATAACGTAAAGCTAACTTCGAAACAAATAACAAACCCCAATTGCCAAAACAAGCAAATTAGGGCAAACAACCCCACTTTCTCGAAATTCCCCTCCAACAACAAATTCAACTTGTTCCACTCCATTAAACCCTAGCTCAAACGTCAAAACGCTCCTTCCTTCGTAAACCCAAACCTAAAACCACAAACTCCCCGCATTTCCATACAAAGAACTAAAAAAATCCCCGAAAACCAGACAGAAGGAGAGAGCCTCCCAAAATTAAACCCATAATTAACTTAAACAAGATAATTAACTAGCTAAAATACAGTTAATTAAGCAAAAAACCAAAATTTTACATAAAAATGGAAGAACAAATGAAATAAAATAAAATAAAATAAACAGTAAACATGTACCTGGAGAAGAGGGTCTGGGGAGAAAGCTAGAGAGAGAAAGAGGGGTCCAACAGAGAAGTGCAGGGAAAAAAGGAAACAGGGGGATCCCAACCGACGGCTGTGATTCTATGTTGAGTCGGGATCGAATGGGAAATCCCCCGTGTAGAGAGAGAAACCGTTTTGGGAGTCGTCGGGTCGGTGGCCAGGTCAGCAATGGCGAGGACCTTAGAGACATTGCAACGTGGCCGCTCAGGGTTGGCCCCCGTGGTGTCTTGGCCTTTCGAAGAGAGAGAGCGGCTCGTTTTTTGACGCTTTAGCTTTGCGGCTGTGTCAAAATGGCGTCGCATCCCACGTTTCTTAAAGCGTCAAAAGGTCGCCGAATTCTCTCTCTCTCAAACCTCTCTTTCTCTCTCTTCCCGCCCCTTTGGGCTCGTGCTCCAAAGAATCACTAACGAACTGGACAGTGTGGATTTCGTGATTCTATTTGGATTTTTAATTGGCCGTACGATCTAAATTTAAGTTTCTGCAGTACTTTTTCGTTCTTGAATTAAAAATGGGAAAGGTTTATATATAAAGCGTTGGCTCTAAACAAGAGCCTACTCAAAATTTTAACTAGGAGAGGTTGTCCCCAAATACTTATCTATCTCCCCATTAAAATTTAGTTTTTAAATTTTATTAATTTTTTTATATTTATGATCTCCATGTTAGAAAAATTACATGTTTTTGAAAATTAAGTGCTAAAATCCATCTCGAAAATATATTTGTTAAGAGGCTACATTTCTACGTACTTAGCCGCTTAGAGACCGGGTCCAAAAGAAAATTATATAGCGCTTCAAAAAGACAATTCAAAAGCGTCATGTTGACTACTTGTACACATGAGTAACCTTAAGGTACTCAAACGTTGTTCGGCGCTTGATACATTTATCACACCGTGTAGCAGATTTTTTTCTTGAGGTATTTTAGCTAATTCATCAGGGGTAAAGTAGTTCGATTGAAAGATAAACATTTATTAATAAAAAAAGTTTATAGAAGGTTTCAATTTTAAAATGAAAAATTAAATATGCACTTCAAAAATCCATCGGAAAATGTTGTTTTAATGTTAAAAAATCTTCTAATTGATCATATTGACATCAAGATGTATACAAATGAAAAAAAAAAAAAAAATTTGAAATCCCAAAAATAGTGTATCTTGCAACACAATATCTAAACCATCCATTTTCAATATTTTCATATGCTTATAGATCTACTTGATTTAATCATTTATAAAGTTTAAAATTTTATAATTATATATGAAAATAGATTTACAGATAATCCTAATAATTTTTTACACCAAACTGACATGTTATGATAAAATCTGGATATGCGCCTTAATTTGATTGTTTAAGGTTGCAACATTATAGAAACCACACACTTTATTAATTATAGTGGAAGATGAGATCATCCACATCATGTGTGACATCACCCACATAAAGCAATGATTGTTTCTTAACTATTAGTAAAATGTCACTAATTTATTATAGAAATATCTATCTACCCCTTGTAATGCCGAAATATGCTCTTACTAAATAAAATTGTATTACAAAATAAGGGGTAATCAATATGAAAAAATATTAGATTATGTTAGGGTGCTCACACTATAGAGTATTTTATAATTGTACTCAACAAATTATTGACATTTATATGCTATTGTTTTGTATATGAGAATTTCTTTTAATAAGAGTATTTTTTGTCTTTAGGAGAGGTATAACATCATTCACATAAATGTGACATCGTCCACATGGAGCACATTAGTGACATTTAATCATTCATGTAAGTAATATCACATTTCATATAGACGATGTCATACCCCTCCTAATCACAAAAAATACATTTACTAAAAAACATTGTATTACAAAATAATGGTATATAAATATTCAAAATTTGTTAAATACAATTATAAAATATTCAGTAAGCACTCTAATATAACCTATTAAAAAAATACTCATACTTATGGCATAACCCTTTGATGAAAGGCACCAATTTTTTTAAAAAAATTTACATTTAAAACTTTGTCAAAATTTTTCATAGCTCTTAAATTTATGGGCCTTAGCGAGGTATGGCCTTGATAGAGCAAGATGGTAGAACAAAATTTGTATAGCTCATCCGAAACAGTTAGAAAAAAAAAAAAAAGTTTAGTGACGAAGAAAAGTTTGTGATGAAGACAACTCTTGCTAACAAAATTTTTATAGCTGATCCGAAACAGTTAGAAAAAAAAAAAAAGTTTGTGATGAAGACAACTTTGTGTTTAACTCTTGCTTCTCCCACTGGGGACTCATGACCATTCCTAGCCACTTAAGTTGGGAAGAGAGAGAAGTAAAAGTACGTGGGTTTCGTTTGGTTATTAGGTGCCACTTCGCACATCAAAGTTTGGAGAGTCGATAACAACTCACTAGCCCATGTCACATCCATTCAAAAAAAACAATGCCTTTTATCTCTCACTCTCTCTCTCTCTCTCTGTTCTCTTTGTGTGTACGAAAAATGGATAACAGAAATTTGAAGCTCGGATTGAACAAAAATCCCATACCTTTTTACAAGGGTGCGGCCTTTATGAGGTGTCAATATTATATTGTAGAAGTAAGGTGCACTTTAAATCTATCCGAAAATAATAGTCCACCGCTGTTTGAGGCTTTCGGCTTAAAAAAAAAATTTGACCCTTACTTATAAAGTTTAAATATCCAAAACTGAGGCATTTTGAGTAGATCAGTAAACACTTTAAAATTTTAGACATAGACAACCTAAATAATATGTTATAAGATGCACTATTTTTAGAACTTGAAATCTATTTTTACTCTCATGTCCATATCCCATGTTCGAGATGATGAATTGTGGGGTTTTTTTACTTTAGAACAACATTATGGAGTGGATTTTTAAGGTGGGCCTTGCTTCTACAATATAAGGTTTCAACCTTATATAATTTTTTCCTTTTTACAAAGGAAAAAGTTTACATAAAGTTGCAATCTTATTCTATAGAAATAAGGTGTACTTCAAAAATCTAGTAGAAAATAGTGCTTTCCGAAATGTATGGATATAAAGAAATATAAATAAAGTCCTAAAAAACGGTGTATCTTGTAACAAGTTATGTGGATACATTTGTTTTTAAGATTTTTAAGAATTTAAAGATCAGCTCGATCTACACTATTTTCGAAATTTTAAATTTCATAATTAAAATTCAACATGGGTTTTCAAGCCATCATAAGGATTTTAACATTAGAGTTATATCTTCTTGCAAAATATATAGGTGCACCTCTCTTGTAAAATATCAGGTTGGCACCTTATATAAACCTCACCCTTCTACAAATATTTTACATATACATGTTGAAGGAGAATACGCAGTGGGGAATGGGGTTGGGCATCAATGGTAAGGTGGGGTGGATGCCTCAATATAACACCCCACCATCCTTTCGCAACGTTAATATGTCCAAAAAAAAAAGTACATAACAAATACTAAGATTCTTGATGAACTTTAATGTATAAGGTGTTGATCTTAAACAATCACGATAAGGTGCACCTCAAAATCTTATTAAAAGACGTATCTTGATGCCAAAACTCTTATCATAGCCTAAAAGTCTATTTTTCACCCCTATAATGATATAGAAAGCTTTGAAAATGGTGCAAATCTATCAAATCTATGAGCACTCGAAAATTTTGTAAACAAACGGTCTAAATAATGTATTACTAGATGCACTATTTTTAAGACTTGAAATTCATTTTTTCTTTCATATCCATATATATCACGATCAAAGTGATCAATTAGAGAATTTTCCAATGACAAAACAACCTTCGGCCTTTTTCGATGGTTTTTTGAGATGCACCTTATTCTACGATATAAGGTTAACACCTATATATAGTTAACACCTATATAAATTTTCTCCTTTTAAAAAAAGGAAAAACAAAATATATGATATGTTTTCTCATCAAGTATGGATATCTAATTTGGAATCATGCGTTATCAATTTTCCTAAAAACTACCAATAAAACGATCAAAATACCTAAAAGCAACAATAAGGTGATTAAATTAAATTAATTTAATCGCAAAGCAATTCCCTTTCAAGAATCATTTCCGTTACGTGCATCTTCAAATATTTTGTTACAAAATATCTAAATGCCCACGATCCAAGTTTGGAACACTAAACGAGTGAGGCAGATTCGGTAATTGGGTCACTTAACTTACTCGAGCCAAATGACCTGAATATCATGCTAGTTCCGGGTTTTAAGCCGTTAGTTATTGGCTTAAATGGGCTGAAATTGCCCCGTTTGTTCTAAATTTCAAAGCCGGATGAAGTATTTTTAATTCATTTGACTAATGTGTTAAAAAAGGAAGCAGGAACATGCAACGATATTTTAATTCATGTGACTAATGTGAATGAAGTAAGTCAAATCATCAAAATGTACTTACTTATTTAGGGTTACAAACTTGGAATAAGAGCAACTTGGACATTTTTAATAAGATTCTCAAGGTGCATAAATGATTTTTCTTTTAAAAAGAAGAATAGGTCAACATTTTGTTGGTAAAAATGTCGATTAAACCATTTCATTGATTTTTTTTTTTTTAGGTGGATCAACCATTTTAATGATATTCTCTTTTTTCATATTTTTACAATTAATGGTACCGGGACCAGCTCAATTCGGCTAATCCGGACAGATCCCACCACCAATGAGTACATTGATATTCCAAAGCAAAAACTGATCAAATCCAATGTTTTGCTAGTTTTGAACCAGTCGATTTTGACCGATTAGACCAACAAAACCAGATGAAGCAGCTTGTTTGTAATACATTTATAATTTTAAATTATTATTCTTGCTTTTCTTTCTTTTAAAAGTTGATCTAGATTTAACATTGAATTAATTTTGACTCGACTAGATTACTAATAAAGCAATGATTGGTCCGGTTTTGAGAACGCTAGCCACAATTTGTCTACATCTTTTAAAAGGCAAGGTCTAGA